CGTGCAGAAATCTTCCTAGGAGCACCTAATCGTCTTTGGTTTTCAACGCTGTCACGGGTCTTGAAGCGTCCAATGAACGAAGCAACTGTACTAAAAGGAACATTCAAGTGGCTAGCAATCTTCCTATAACTTTCTCCTTCCTTCCAACGCGATAGAATTAGTTGATTCAAATTAAGAATAGGTCCCCAACAAACATTGAGAATCTTAAGGTGGTGTGCCAAGAAGAATGGTAGAAAATACCAGTCAGCATCTGCAAATCATTGGTGGAGACGTATAGAAATAGACTGGTATCTGTTGAGCTGAATAAAGGGTATTCAACCAAGTATTAAATTAAAATAATGCGGATTTATTGTTTTGTACGAATACTTTTTTCACCCGAAAAGTGAACATGTTGCATTGTTTTTTGTGGCATTGAGATTTAATTTCTTTTGATAGTATTTTTGAATACTATGCGTCTCTATACATAATTTAAATCACTTTTCCTGTTAAGTTTGTGTACTTACATACATTAAAACACGATTTTTCAAGTGTACGAATATTTATTTTCCCCCACTGTATAAGTGTATATAGTTTTGCGTAGTCTACATCTGTGTATTTCGGTATGAAATCTCGCAATTTTATACTAGGCTATTGAAGCACAAAGGAAAGAGTTTTAGAACAGAAAACCTGCTTGCGCATCCCGCGCATCCCCCTCATTCAGTTGTACGTATTCATGCCGAGCAGTGCAACGTCCCAGTGTCCGATAGTGATTTTAGAGTTTTAGCTAGCCTCCACAACCGGTGTTTCTGACCTTCGAATAATAGAGTCCCTGTATATTTTCAAAAAAGGCATAGTTTAAATGACAGCTACATTTCAAATTCCCTCGAAATTGTAAATTGGAAATGCTTGTCTGCACATGTTCCCTCCATTTATATTTGTTTTCATTTGTAGATTCTTGTTTTAACTTCTTACAAGTGAATTTTAGTTTGCTAATTGTTTGTACAAGTGCTCTAAGTTTTGAACTAACGATGAAACTGGACTCCGAAACTTTTTCGCTCACAAGAAATGGTGAATTTTTTGGCTTTATTCATTGCTATTAAATTCTTGTGAGACTTGCGATTTAAGCAGTCGAGTGATCAAATAAAAAAGTTAAATTATCTAGTCACGGAAGATGATCACTTCCTACAAATTAATTCAAACTTCTTGGTCATTTTGAACTTAGTTAGTTACCGCTGAATAAACGCATCAACGTTGGTGTATTTGCAAACAATAAGAATGGGTTTGATGAACTTTAAAAATATTTTATGGTGTTTTGTATACTTCACTAGGCCCAGTGAGTGCGATGAAGTTTAAAAATATTTTAGGGGTTTTTGTAAACTGTGCTAGGCCCAATGGGTGTGATGAACTTTAAAAATATTTCAGGGATTTTTTGTAAACTGTGCTAGGCCCAATGGGTGTGATGAACTTTAAAAATATTTCAGGGATTTTTTGTAAACTGTGCTAGGCCCAATGGGTGTGATGAACTTTAAAAATATTTCAGGGATTTTTAGCGCATTTTCTCAATTATGAAAAAAAGGCGCTATTGTGCTCGCCATGTCCGTCCGTCTGTCTGTACGTGACTTCACGTTTTCGTCGACGAGAAAATGCGATCTCTGTCACTCACTGCAGTGAGTACTGTATTATATTTTTTTTATACTGTGCTTAGGCCCAGTGAGTGTGATGAACTTTAAAAATATTTAAATATTTCAGGGACTTGTGTTTACTTCACTAGGACCCATGGGTATAATGAACTTCCTTAGAAGTAATAAATGCACCGTGACTGTCTTGACACCCCAAAACGCCCCTGCCAAATACCCAGCGCCAGACGAACAAATTTGGCAACGCTTGGCCATCAGTAACGGTGAGATATTACTTAAGTAGTTTATGATGGAATAATTAGCTAATGAATCAATTCCCTTAGGAATTTCTGTCAACAAAAATTTTGCCATAAATTCTTTAAGAAATTCCTGGCTTCAATTTTTCATGTCAGGAGAAAAAAACTTTTAAACATTATTTTAATTCATGCACCTGAATAATTTTTAAATGATTGAATCATAAAATAACTTTTTTCAGAAAATGTATTATTAGAAAATCTTTACGTTTCAGGTATTGAAATAATTTTAAAATGCGGTGGGAGGCAGCAACGAGATACCCTCGATTCTCTTGTCTTTACGGATGGAATATGATATTAATTCGCTGGTCGAAACGGACGAAATCTAATATTAATTCGCTTGTCTTTACGGATGAAATATAATATTAATTCGTTTTTTGAGAGGGATGAAATATGATAATAATTCGCTTGTCGGGACCGATGCAATATAATATTAATTTGCTTGTCGAGATGGATGATATATATAATTAATTCAATTGTCGTGACGGAAGAAATATAACATTTATTCGCTGGTCGAGACGGATGATCAAGTATAATAATAATTCGCTTGCCGAGACGGATGAAATATAATATTAATTCGCTTGCCTGGAAGCTTGAATTAAATTTGCTTGAATTGTCTGTTCATAATGAGTGAGAAGGATGAAAGACAGTTGAGTATTTATATTTTCATCAAGATTAATGATATTTAATAGCTTAAATTGTCTGTTTATAATGAAGGAGAAGGATTAAATCTAATTGTTTAAATTGTCTGATAATACCGAGCGACTGCCTCTAATTGGCTTGTCAAATAAAGTATATGAAGAACAGGAAGAATATTTCAATGAGCCTAAAACCACCCATAAAAATAATAATCTGGTTTCAGTTTCTCAAATGGATGGAATATAATGTAAATTCGCTTATCGAGAGGAGGAAACAAAATATCTAGGAAATATAATTTTTCTTTAGGGATTTTATGGGATGCAAGATGACCGACAAATTTAAGGTGAACGATTAAGTTCTTGAAATCTTCGAATTGCTCGTTTCGGAAATTTTTCAGATTCAAAATTTTCCGGAAAAACTTCAGCAGGAGCAAAGTTAAAATCGGATCATTTGACAAGCTCTGAAGACATGAAAGACAACGATCACGAAAAAGACAACGATCACGACTGCATTATCAACATTTATGCAAAGACTGCGCACCGTCCTGTGCATTGGATCAGCAGCCAGGCACTGTTTCATAGTGATAAGGCCTTGTTAGGACCGCAAGATATGGTAAGTAAAGGCAGTTACAAATTACACAAGTAAAGATTTAAACAGCACAATACTAACTTTTTTCATTCGTAGTAATATAATTAAAAAATTAAATATTAAATAATTCGTATGTTAGCATATCACTAGTAACAATAACTAATTGGGCGACTTTGCAAATGTTCGTTGGAGTTGTGATACCGTGTCACTTTTTGAGTTAATTATTCTCCTGATTGATTTTCTCGCATCAGTAATTTTTTAGCTTCCGGAATCTATAAAACCATTGTGATATGAGATAATTGATATTTCACTTTGAATTTTTTTTGCAAAGCCTAAATTGAGGTTTTGCGCCAAAAAATTCACAAACATTCATAGACATATGTTCTTAATTTTTCGATACTGCACAATTGCATCAAATATTAATTCATTCCTGCAATATTCTTAAGTTAGCAATACAGAACAAAAGACGAAAAATTTCGATATTTTTTTTCTGAAGTACATAAGAACGAATTTTCAGATGCATAGCAATACCCAGTCAAATAAGGTGCCTCATTCTTAACATCGATTAAATACCTACAGATATTCCCAGGCAGCTTCACCCTGGAGTTGTACAGCGCCTTCACTAAATTTCTTCCAATAGAAGAAGGCAGCGTAATGGATATCATTGCAGCAAAAATGTGTCCTCAAACACACACCACGTGCCCCAATCTTCTGTGTAACTAAAATTGGATTTTCGTTCAGAAAATTATTTATCAAATTAAAAACTGGACTAACCCCGCAATATCAGCTGGTTTTGTAATACTTTCGGACAACTTTCTTAATCTATTACTTATCAGACTCATACAATTAGGCTTGTGAAATTATCTACATTTCATGACGTTGATATTAAGAACTTTCATTACGTAAATTAATTGAACTTATTTACTTACACAACTGTTCCTAAAAGGCATCTAAATCCGCGACATGTTTGCAGTAGCCGATGGATTGGTATAAGCTGCAGGAACGTGTTAATGTAATAGTAAACGGTGGTATAAAATTTTGTAGCCGAAAAAAATAGTTTTTAATATTTCATGTGAACACGTTTTGGACATCAATTTTATAATAAATTCGAAATTCCAAGAACACGGGTGTAAATAAGTTGGATCAAAAAAATTACAATGTATATTCAAATTCTTGATTGACAATATAAAAAAATTGAGGGGAAAAATAAGCAAACAAATCAACCCCCTGAAACATTAATAAGTAATAGGTCTTGTTTAAAATAGTCTTCTTGACTAACATGATTTTAGAATTTCTGGGCAAGGGCGACCAATAGAGGATTTATGAACTCTCCGGGACATCATAATGTTTGCTGTCGTAAAATTTACCTGCCTGAATGAGGTGGGTGCGCAAATAGACAGTCTATTCGATAACTCCTGCTTCTGTGCTTAGCCACTCTTGCACAGAATCTGAGTAATTAATGTTGTTGTGGGCCAATTTTCGCATCGCTTGAACAGTTTTGGTGGTTGTAAGCCGCAGCACTTCTCCCAACCGGACTGATGATAACATGAGTGCTGATAACCCCCAAGCAAGAAATTCATACCACAAGGAAATGTAAAACTAAAAATAAATCCCCTGCCGGAGTGCATAAAGGAACAAATAAGAGAAAGAGACAACACCAGAGAGATTGGAGAAGACCCAGAGAGAGTAAAAGAGTTGAACAACAACATCAATGAAAACATCAAGAAGCATAAGTAACGTTGGGAATGGAAAAACATCCGAGAATCTTGGGAGTGACTTTTGATCCAAAGATGACCTACTCTGAACATGTAAGAAGCACTGCAAGCAAAGCGAAGAAAAACATCAACATATTAAAAGCCCTATCTGGAGCTGACTGGGGAAAGGACACGGAGACTATTGTGCAAACCTACAAGGCGCTGATACGTCCAGTTCTGGAGTATGGAAGTAGTATATGGGGTCCCATGACATCGGAAAGTGGCTGGCAGAAAATACAAACTGTTCAGAACTCTGCCCTGAGAATTGCCACAGGACACACACGCGACACCAACGCACAACATCTTCACGACGAAACATCTGTCCTGCCTCTGAAGAACCACGTGCAGATGACGGCCTCACAACTGAGGGAGAAGAGCAAACTGGAAGAACACCCACTGAGAAGTCTGATGAACCAAGAACCAATCAGACTCATGAAAAAGACCATATACAACAGCGAGTATAGCATAAAAGTGTATGAATGCAACAACAACAACAGTGATAGCAGCGTGGAGGTGAATAGAAACATGAGGACATTGCATACCACCGCAGTCGAGAGATACCTAGAATCGAGAACACCCAACAAGATTCTAAATGCACCTGCACCTAAAGTAAACGAAATAGAGAGGACTTTGGACCGAGGCATGAGGCGCACATTGGCGCAGTTAAGGGCGGGGAAATGCCCAATGCTTAGAGAATACGTACCTCAATAAGATCGATGAGGCTAATTACCCAACACCATCATGCCCTCTGTGTAAAAACCACACCCACAACACACAACATCTGTTTGGGTGTACTGAAATTCCAACCAGCCTGCAGCCTGAAGATCTATGGAATAAGCCAGTGGAAGTGTCCCAACTGATCAGAGTGTGGCAAGACCGGCTCGGCGCTCCGGAGGGGGGTGGGCCTGGGCGGCACTCAGTCGAGTGACGTTGTGGTGATCATCATCATCATAACATGAGAAAATTATGTTATAAATATCTGTTAATAGCCATGTGTGAATCAGTAGCTTTAATTTTACTCCTATAATGTAGCTAGTTGTAGCTTTTTACTTCTTTTATACTCCTACCTGGACCATAATTATTATCTGGGTCTAATATGAGAAAGTATCCACTATTTTTTTAAAAGTATATTGTTTTGTATTAATATTTTGACTTCTGTGTATTAGTTTCAATCCTTATCTCTGTTAGACTGGGAACATTTCGGTTCATTTCTCTTCTAAAATTCGCGTTAGGTTACATCAATCTCACGTGACATGAAATACATTTGTGCCTATTTCAATTTCATAAATTCTTTATTATCATCCTCGCGTGAAAATGAGTGCGGGCAGAGAACGTTAATTATTATAATATTATAATTATTATAATGCAGCGTATTTGACCCGATACGACGTACAACTGTCGTGGGCCGACACCGTGTGTCCAACACTCCATTGAAAAACAAAAAAAAAAGATCATATGAGTACAGAAATAATATTTGTTTACATACGAGCTCGGCCGAAATCGTACTTTGCCCTTTTTAGATATAGTCGTCCAAGCTAAGAATAATTCATTCGTAACCAAAGTATACCGGAAACCCACAGATGCCGGGAGAGTCCTTAACGCCGCCAGCGAATGCCCAGAGCGCTAAAAAAGAAGCGCAATAAGTGCTCTCATCCAACGAGCACTCAAAACCTGCTCCTCTGAAAATGATTTGAATACGGAGCTGAAAAATTGCAAAAGAACCTTAGTCAATAATGGATTTGCAAATAGAACAATTGACAAGGAAATTTCAAAGTTTCGATCGAACCAAAACAGACGCAACCATGAACCAGAGACTGACGCAAACGTCACAACCATCTACTATGAGAACCAAATGACCAGCGGTTCTAAAGCAGATGAACGGATCCTTCATTCTATCGTTCATAACAACATCGTGAACGTAACTAATAATAAAATTAAACTGTTGATTTATTACAAAAACAAGAAAATACAGAATCTTGTAATGAACAATAACCCCTGCAAAAAATATATTGAAAAAACTAATAAGAAAATTGCGAATAAAACAAATTCTCTGGTCTTCAATGAAACCTGCTTGAGAAATAATATTTGATATATGTACATATACATGTGCGCACAAAAAGTTCCGATACAACAGCAAAAACGTGGAATAACCTGCAATTTTAAAATAATTTCGGCTTTTATAGCCCTTTTGACCAAAACCAAAATGTATCTACTTTTTTTGTACGATCAATATTTTGCCCTTAACGCTTTGAGAATAAATGGAAGTTCCTACTCATTACAGTTCGAAATTTTGCAGCAGAATCTAACATGTCTGACTTATTGGACGAACATTGTTTACTTACTCTTCCTTGACTCCTCACGTGTCATTTTGGTTCAAATGATAAGCAAAGATATCAGTTTAGTGTGAACTATATTCACACATAATTCCTGAATGGAGACATCAAAATGCTTAGCATTACATGATTTTTTATAATTAATTGTTTGCTACTTAAATAAAAAAAATCGCATTACAATAAGGTAATGATCCTTTTATTCTCAGCCTTGATTACTCACGAAGATATCCTAGGCTTGTGCAAGGAATGTGACGCAATGAAGAATGACTGAAATCATACATGGTCTTCAAAGCGAATGATAAGACTGGTGAGGTGTTAAGATAGAACAGGTTATGCATTTCTTCATTTTTGTATTAGAGAAAGTTTGACGTGACCTTGGCCGAATTATGAAGGCTAGTTAGTCTTGGGTCAACCATTGATGTGTAAAAAACGTCTTGTGTAAATAGGGAAATTCAAAACCGAGGATATTTGTCATGCGTATATAATTTAAGTAGAAATTTTAGAGTCGTTTTAACAGTTAAATTTTTATCTTGTCGATCATGTATAACTTGATTGTTTGTTAAATATTTTCTGTAATTTTTTTATTTCAGTAGTATCAGTATTAGTCTGGAACCATAGGTCAAGTCCCAGCAAAAGTGGTATATTCTCAGTGTTGTTCTCTCGATTGTCAATAAAAGATACACCAGAAAAGATCTTACCAATTCACGTGGCCTTATGTGACTGTCCTATATACCTGGCTGAACATTGAATAATGCATGGATGAAGAGGTTTTATTTTTCTTTAAATGCGTCCCTAGCTATGGTACTTGACGATTAACGCGAGTCACCTCACTTGCTACCTGTACGACCTCATGGGTAATTGAATAATCGGTAAATGATAGACAAAGGATGGGTAATGATAGGTAAATGATAGGTTAATGATGGTTAAACGATGGTAAACGATGAGAAAATGATGGGTAAATGAATGGAAAATGGTGGGAAAATGATGAGAAAATGATGGGAAAATACTGAGAAAATGATGTGAATGATGGAAATATTATAGACAAATGATGGAGAAAAGATGGAAAAATGATGAGAAAAGTATGGAAGAATGATAGGAAAACGATGGGGAAATGATAAAATGATGGTGAAATGATGGGGAAATGATGGAAAATGATGGAAAAATGATGAGAAAATGATGAGAAAGTGATGGGAAGAGATGAGTAAATGGTGAGAAAATCATTAGAAAAGATGGGGAAATGATAAGAAAATGATGGTGATATGATGGGGTAATGATGAAAAATAATGACAAAATGATGGTTAAATAATGGAGAAATTATGAGGAAATGATGGGGAAATGATTGGGAATTGAAGAAAAAATGATCCAAAACGATGGAAAATTGATGGGAAAGTGATGAGAAAATGATGGGAAAATGATTGGAAAAAGATGAGAAAATGATGAGGAAAATATGGGATAATGATGAGAAAATGATTTGAAAATGATGTGAAAATGACGGGAAAATGATGGGAAAAGATGAGTAAATGGTGAGAAAATGATGAGAAAACGATGGGGAAATTATAAGAAAATGATGGTGAAGTGATGGGAAAATGATGGAAAACCATGAAAAAATGACGAGAAGATGATGGGAAATGATGGGGAATTGGTGAGAAAATGATATGAAAACGTTGGGAAAATG